TTAAAGACACTTGTGAAGCCTTCAGATTAAGTCAGTCATTTAACATCATTAAATAAAATGCAATTTATTTTTTCTACTTCTGTGGATACTGAATCAAAAGAGTATTTTTCCCATTAGAAAGGTTTATTAGAAACTATTTTGCTCTTGCATGACCAGCACTTAGGTCTCTTTTTAGAAGACAAAAAAATAGGTTAATGTTTCACAACCGGAGGAATTGTATTGTTAGCATACCAGTGTAGGATTTTGAATCTCAGAGGGCATGTTTTCAGTAACAAAAGTATGTATTACACGGGTTAGGAAGGGTCTGATTTTCACAGTAATTCTGTGACCAGAAAAACATGTAATGCAAAACATAAGCTTGGAAATTGCTATTTGCTAGCTCCGTCTTAAGAAGATTTGTAGCTAACTCTGAATTACACGCTCTGCAGAAACAGCTCCCTTCTTTTATCACTTTGGAAATCATTAACTTGCCCTCATGGTCCTCGTGCAACAAAGGAAGTTTTTGCATGGATTTTCTGATAGGAGAAACAAAAGAGATCACAGATAACAAAATAGCAGTGTGAATGATAGTTTTAGAGGACCTTCACCTAAACACGTTTCAGTGACATCTCATCAGATAGGGTAACAATCCCCAAATTTCCCAGCACTCAGCACTACCATGCTTCAGGGCTAATCCATGGAACTAGATCGTGCCTCAGTTCCAAATTTCTTACGTTATCTATGAACACAAATAACTGAGTCACTGTCCCATATCCCATTAATTAACAAAATTGATTTCACGTAATTATACACTTTGCTGTTATGGGTCTATATGCATGGTAGAATGGAGGTGTGATAACACTTGCCTACTTGGGCTGTAATTACACTTGAAGTTCTGCACTTCAGTACCCCGTGTGTCAATGCACTCTATGCTATCCACCCCAATAAATAACCAACCAACTCTCTAACTTGGCAAATAGCTCTAGGGTTCATGTACACACACACATATATATATATTACTTTTTTTGCTCATTTGCAACCATTGCCACAAGCCACCTGCACTACAAGCATATTTTAATGTCCTGCGCTGCATACATAGAGCAGGAGCAGTGTTTAATCTTCTATGCCCCTCTGAGAATATGTTCTCCATAAAGATACATCTGTCACCCATATGAATTTCTGGCAAAGTAGGATCCAATTTTTCTGTTCAATATGCATACTTCTGAAAATCTGATTCACATGTTTGCATATTCAGTAGGCTAGAGAGCCTTTCAAACAGCATACCGTGGCTGAAAACTGCACAGCGATTGCTGGTGCCATGAGCTGGGCATCCTCCATAAGTGAAAAAGTGAAAGATGATTACATAGACATGATCCCACTCATCCATATGTAAAAATCCCTCATCTGCTCATTTATCTGCCTGGTCATCTAATGCTGGGCTGCAGATTACTTGGGGCATGCATTTTCCTATTTGCATGTCTAGAAAGCAGTGAACACACCACAGGTTCTATGGAAAATAAGGAATGGATAGCAATAATTATAACTTTGTCACGCTTGTTTTTAAAGAAGTTCAGCAGAGCAGAATTACAGTAATGTAAGGCTAGGATTAGTGTCTAAAAATGGGGATTCAGTAGAAGATTTTTTATTTCTACAGAATTCTAGCATGGTATCCCTCTCAAATTTTTCTGGATATAAACTCAAAGTAGATATTGAGTTTTCTGAAGACTGCTAATTCCTGAGTTATAACCAATTAAAGTTTGCTTTTAATGCAACTTGTATGTGACATTCCAGACCTGCTAACAAAATATGAACTGCTATCAAATTACGATGTAGTTAAAGTACATAATCACATTATAGGTCATGCCTTACATACCATGTTTTTAACAAAAAGAAAGATGATTAGTGTTATTAGTCACAGTCAAATTCAT